GCCCTGCTAGCGAATGATTGCTGTTGGAACTTGCTACTACTCTGATCACTTCTCCAATGCCTCCAACAAAATGGTTACTTGCGTGTTGTCACTTCCCAAATGGTCACTTATGCACCCACTAATGCCGCCCACTGATTCGTACTAAGTAATCTACCCAGCCCTCCTCCTTTTTCCACAATAGATTTTATCCACTTTTTTTGAAATAGCAAAGTTATGGCCAAGCCAATTATTCCGGACGAACAAAAAGACTGTGACAGAATGCATGTCCCTTAAGAGACCAAGAATCTGTCAGAAAAATATCACTTTCAACAAATTTACTAAAAAAAATGAAGGTCATAGATCGCCAAGAAAAACAAAATTGGGTTGTTTAAGGGTATTTTTATTACCTCTTTTTTAACGGTATTTTCAATGCCGCCGAATTTTCCGATGCCCTTTGGCACTTTGCCAAGTCAACCCAATCGTCACTCATCTTCCTTGCTTCCTCCTCCCACCTTCCTTAACCTCATTTTTTCTCTCTCACTGGCAATAATTAGCCATCCGAACACTATCCATGGTCCCCTCCACCGAAAACGGGTTAACTGAGGAACAAATCCAATACGACTAAGCGCGACAGTTTGCCATTCGAAAAAATTAGCGCCGGTCTGCCATCGAAAAACGACATCGATACTATGGGCCTAAAAGTTAATACCAGACTGGTAAAGAAAAAGTAATCGCGGTCCCCGCAATTGCTGTTTGACACAAAATTCTCATTACGCCCAAAATGCTCCACTCCCGACACCTCTGGTCCCCGAGGACAATTCGCCGGCATTTTGATGACCTCATGCGCATGAGAACCCAGGCTAATTCCAAACACACGAAAGATGAGGAGAAAAATCCATCTGATCATGGACCCGCCCGAATCTCCAAATGTGCAGGTCGAACAATGCTGCACCGCTTGGTGGTCAGCTTGCTGGTGATCATAACGTTCAATTCGTTCCCTGGAGGGATTACCAGCTCAGCATTTGCCCTGATAAAAGCATTTGCCAAAGTTTTAAGCGCTCCGTAATATCCTCAAGC